ACCAACTGTAATTCCATTGAGAAGATCCATAAAAGAGTGACAACTATTTACTAGATATTCTCCACATGAGTATGTTATGCTTATTGATGGGAGAGAGCCAAAAACTTACTAAGAAGCTATTCTACATGAGCATAAGAATGAGTGGGTTAAAGCCATACAAAAAGAAATGAGATCCTTAAGAACCACACCTATAACTGTAAAGTTGCCTAAAGAGAAAAAGTTTTCAAAAATAAATGTATTTACAAATTGAAGACCAAAAATAATAACTCACAACAAAGATACAAGACATAACTAGTTGTGAAAGGATTCAGTCAGAAGAAAGGTATTGACTTTGAAGAAATATTTTCTTCTGTGATGAAAATGCCCTCAATCCAAGTTGTTATTGGTTTGGCTACCCGCTTAAATTTAGATGTTGAGCAACTTGATATGAAAACATCAATTCTTTATGATGACTTAAAAGAAAAAAATTATGTGAAGCAGCCAGAATGTTTCGAAGTCAAGGAAAAAAGAAAATCTAGTGTGCAAGTTTAGGAAAAGCTTATATAAACTCAAACAATCACTTGGACAATGATATAAGAAATTTAATTCCTTTATGATGAGTCAATTATATAATAGAACAATATCTGATCAATGTGTATTTACAAAGAAGTTTTTAGATAATGATTTCATTATTCTCCTGCTATATGTTGATGATATATTGATTGTTGACCATGATACTTATAAAATTGAAAAACTTAAAAGAGAGCTAAGTAAGTCTTTTGCTATGAAAGACTTGAGATCGATGAAACAAATACTTGATATGAAGATTCTTCATTATAAGAAGAAAAAGAAGATTTGACTATCTCAGGAGACTTACATTGAAAATGTTCTTGAAAGATGCAACATGAGTAAAGTCAAAGCTGTTTGTTCTCCACTTGCGGGTCATTTCAAGCTTAACGAGTAAAGCCAAAGCAATTTGTTCTCCACTTGCGGGTCATTTTAAGCTTAGTTCAAAATAATGTCCTACAAGTAAGAAAAAAAAATAAGAAATATCCAGAGCACTTTACTCATCTGCAATAGATAGTTTGACGTATGCTATAGTTTATACTAGGTTAGATATAGCTCATGCAGTTGGAGTTGTCAATCGATTTCTCTCTAATCCTAGTAAGGAACATTGGGCAGCAGTTAAATGGATATTAAGATTTCTAAGAGGTACTTCCAGGTTATGTTTATATTTTGGCAGTGATGAACCTATGCTAGAAGGGTACACATATACAAACATGGCAGGTGATATTGATTTCAAGAAGTCCACTTCAGGATTCTTAATGACATTTGCAGGGGGAGCAGTCTCTTAGCAGTTTAAGTTATAGAATTGTGTTGCTCTAACAGTCACAGACGCAGAATATATAGCAATTACTGAAGCCTATAAGGAAATTTTGTGGATGAAAAATTTTTTATAGGAATTGAGCTTAAAACAGGAAGGATATATTGTTGATCAGAATGTCATTCATCTCTCTAAAAATTCAACATACTATTCTAGATCTAAATATATTGATGTTAAATGTTACTGGATTCGTGATGTGCTTGAAATGAAAGAATTGCACTTGGAAAATATGTATATCAATGAGAATGAATCAGATATGTTGATAAAGTCTTTGCCTAAGAAGAAGCTTGAAGCATGTAGACGAAGAGCGGGCTTAGTACAACCCACCATATGAGTTAGAGGGAGAGAATTGTTAGGTCCAGCCCATATGTAGGCTTGGACTAGATGATTTCAACAATAAACCTAAATCTTATTTATTAAAAAAAAAAAAGTAGAGACATGCATAGTGAGAGCAGTGAGAGAGAAAAGAAGAAAGAATTCAACATATCAGATCGAAGCATATTGATGTTGTCACTGGTGGATTCGTGATATGCTTGAGATAAAAAAATTATACTTAGAAAAGATACATATCAATGAGAATAAATCAGATATAAATAAAGTCTTTGTATAATAAGAAGCTTGAAGCAGGTAGACGAAGAGCGGGTTTAGTACAACCCATCATATGAGCTGGAGGGAGGAAATTGTTGGGTCCAACTCATATGTGGGTTTGGATTAGATGATTTGGACAGTAAAACTAAATCTTATTTATTAAAAAAAAGAAAAAAAAGGAAGAGACGTGCACAATGAGAGAGAAAAAAAGAAAAAAAATTAAGATTTTTGGGGATTTTAGTAGATGATTGAGCGACTAAATTTTATTAGATTTGGCTCAAATTTTATATAAAGAATTCTTGCAACAATTTCTATAATCTTTATGAGATTTAAAAAAAAATTCATGAAATGAATATATGTTAATGTTCTTGATGGTACTGTGATCCTTTAGTTATTAAAACTTATTGTAAGCATGTTATCATTATCGGTGATAGTGGAAGTTTGAGGTGGAGTATGGTTGTGATTTTTTTGCATTAGATTTTTTACATAAAAAATCAATGTCTCGCTGATTGATTTATTGTTCTACTATTTATGTTGCTTCGATTAATATTTATATTTTGATAATAAATTAATATATTGATGAGAAACCGAAGAAAAAAATTATTCTAACAGTTTTACCTAAACCAAAAGCAGCGAGGATCATCTGTGGGCAGATTAAGATAAAGGCTCCTGGCAGTGGAGATAGTGCTGTCGAGTACTAATTGCTCTTCACTTTGGTGCATAACAGAACTGGTTCCTCCTAAGCTATAAGTTTCCCAGGAAAGCTTGCCTTTATCGTCCAGTGAAATGGCCTGCTCTTTTAACATCATCTAAAGTATCATCCAGTGAAATGTTAGCCTACTAATTCAACATTAACATACATCAAAATGTTTCCTACATCAAGCACTCGTGAAAGCGTTGACCATGCAGAAAACTTTCTCCAAAAAGTTTAGAAAATGTTGCTGCAATTAATCGTCTGTCGATTTCAAGCCAAAGCACTGTCCCTCGTCATCCATGTTCTTAACTGCACTTTTGTGCTGCAAATTGAGACTTGACTCGATTTTTCTACAAGCATTTGGAGCAAATATATTTGCACTCTTTAGCCCACACAAGCCCAACCCGACCATGGGACGGGCTTGGGCGGGTCGGGATTAGTCTGTGAAGTCTCAAGTCAGCTCATTTGGATTAGCCTTGTGATACATTTGGTGTATTCCAACAGCTACTAATGGTGGCTGTTTGACTGTAGATTGCACAGTCCCTCTTTAACTGTAGCTGTTGTTGCCGTCAATGGTAACATTGCAACCTACAATCCAACAGCCACCATTAGTATCTCTGATCAAAAAGTCAATACCACCCTTACCTTATTGATCACTGTTGAGCTTATACCAACTCATGTTGGATCTTCCCATCTGAGAGCTATAAGAAAAACCCTTTTATTCACTTACGCGTTAGGAAGCAAATCAACCATAATGCAATGAAAAACAAAGTCAATCAGACAAGTAACATTCTTGCAAATCCACCATAGAAAGGTAGCAACCGAGGAGTCAATCTCATGATCATCAATCCCTCTCTTTTAACGTTGAACCCTCGATCCAGTCAAAATAAGTGGATAAATTCTGCTGTTCATGTGATTGTAAAGCCTCTACGTTAACCTCATTTCTGCATGCCCCACACGAAGGTTCATGGAATTGTTTCTGATGAAGGTCACAAATGTTCATACCAGGAAGATGACCTGCAGTTGGACTTTTCCTAGCAAATTAATGGGGTTTAGTAGAATTTGTTGAGGCAATTTGTTTTTTCTCACTGATCACATGAGTTTGGAAAGAAGAAGAAGGGAGGAAAATAATCGAAGAACAAATTTGTGGTGTTATTGGCACATGAATAATGAGTTAAATTCACACTTAAGCGATGGTTTGTCTCTACGAGTTAAAAGGAGTCTTCCCCTTCTCTCTGTCGTCATGAAGCAGTCACGGTGACGAAACAGCTACTGTCGCAAAAGCGAGAGCGGACGAACAATCCCCGTCCAACGAGAGCTGCAGCGTCAACCCGCTGTGGTGAAGACAAAGTCGTCGCGACTCGGCGCTTTGACAGAGCGACCTTCGCGACCACTCCTAACAAAGAGTTAAATAAGCATTTAAATCAAAAGCCGTGTCATTAACCAGTCTCACTCTGACTTCTTCAAGCGATGTTCCCCGAACCTGCTGCGGCCTTTGCTTGCTAACGACAAAGACTCAGCGCTGCAGCCATTTCAGGCCCGTCAATCACGGGCTTTGTTCCCCTAACACTGGGATCTTGTCCTCCGCCACCAGAGCCATGATAGTTACTGAAACCTTTCTTTTGGATAACCATGTAGTGGACGCAGTCATCCGGTTCATATTCAGTTACCAGCGCGAAAGCAGGTAAGAAATCTAAGACGACAGCTGACATGAACACCGTTCAAAGATTAGGTCCCACTCGCTTTCAGATCGTATCTACGTACGTAAAGGCATGGATAAATCAAATGCAATAACCTCTCCTATATTTGGTAAGAAATCTGAATAAAAACTACGTCAAGATTTAAGAATATTATAATGTAAATAAAATTGGTCAGCATATCGTCATCCAGTGGTACCTCATACACTAATATCAATAGCCGGAGGAAAGGGGTCGCTAACTTCTTCCGGAAAAGTCAACTCGATTTCCATCAACGAGAGGTGGCAGGTGGGAGCCTATGTGAGAGCTCCGTCCGTTGTTACAGAGAAAGAAGGAAAAGAGCTGATTGTGTGATGACCATAAGAAACCTGTAATAAACTTTCATGGAAACGTGGTTTGACCATCACGCGTTGATCATGCATGACATTGCACCAGACACGCGATCGCTGGTGGGTGGCAAGTACTCGGTTTTCACTGCGGCAGTTAAAAGGATCGGAAGGGAAGTGATCGTACCTGCTGCGGAGGATGAGAAACTTCGAAGAGGAAGAAGACAATCGAGGTTTCATGTTTTGTGGTGGCCACAATAGAAAACCCACTTGTCATTTTAGTAACCCGTCAAACTTCCGGACATCTTCGTTTCATCCCAGTTCATTTGACTGACGACCTCCCACGTTGCTCACAGTCTACTTCTCTGTCTCTATATATCTCTGGTTTGATCTCGCTCCCCCCACCTCCCGTTCCCAATTCACTCCCCCATCCGAGAGGAAGAAGTAGAGAAAGATGGGCAATAGCTTGGGCGGAAAGAAGCGAATGATTAAGGTAATGAAAATAGATGGCACCACCTTGAAGCCGAAGCCTCCAGCTCGGGCCGCGGACGTGCTCCGAGACTACCCGGGCTACAACCTCCTCGAGTCGGAGGAGGTGAAGCGGCTCGGCCACCGAGCCCGGCCGCTTGACTCTCATGCTCAACTAGAGACGGGGAAACTCTACTTTCTTGTAGAGCTCCCGCGGGCACCCGATCATCAAAGAGGTCCGCGTAGGGTTTGGTCCGGGGAGCTGCAGGTGAGCGCCAAGGAGCGGCTGGAGAGCCTCATGCTCGCCCGTCGAGCCATGTCAGACTTGTCCTCGGTGGGCCGCAGCTCGAATGTCGAGGCGGAGGAGAACATGGATGGGTCGATCCGCCTTAAGATGAGGCTTCCCAAGGCCGAAGTGGAGAAGCTGATGCAGGACAGCAGGAATGCGATTGAGGCGGCTGAGAAGATTATGAACCTGTGCGCCGTGACGGACGGTGGTGCCCCAACGACGACAACACAGCTGCCGGTACCGGCAGTAGGAACTGGACGAAAGGAGGTGCGTGCTTTTCTCTGCTTCTTCTCTGCTCGCCAATGAATCTTTAGCTCGATTTGTGGGATCAGTAAGCGAACTCCTGCTTCCGAGCTCACTCACTGTGTTGGAATCTTGAATCAAACTAACGACAAGCACACGGAAGATATGATTCTTTTTTCCTTCAGATCATAATCGGGAAAACGAATATGATCTGTAAGCGAATTCCAGAAAAGGTCATCAATCTAGTTGATAATTAGATGGGCATTCCTAACCCGTCCATGCAAAGCCGGTCCAGCTCTGCGTTCCATTTGGAGGAAGAAGAACAAGCTTCTTCATGGTTCTTTTTGGGTAAAGGAACAAACCTTTAAGCATAGCTTTGGATCAGAATCATCTTTCTTGTTTTAGATCTAAATTCATGGGAATATTTGGAACTGATCTCCACCAGCTACTCTTTCTTCTAGTTTCATAGCTAATCTTAGTTGAGAATGACATGGTGAAGAATCGACACCCCATCTGCCCCGCTGCTCTTCACAGCCAATTGATCAATAATATTATGTAAGATTCGGTAGGAAAATCCATGACCTTTTCAAACTCGAGACCTGTTCTTCTCGTTTAGACTTGGAATTATGGTTTCGTTGAATAGCTGCACTGAGGGTGACCGATGACAGAAACATCATTATGAACTCTTAAAACGTGTTCACCGGACACAGATCAATTATACTGCTGAGAACTAAATATTCTTTTGATGCAGAAGTTAAGATATCTATTCATCTAATTCAGCTCGGGTTGAGTCACTGACTGATTCACTCTTGCAGAAGCGTGCGAGGTTTGCAGCGGCGCCGGTTGAGATCATCGCCTAATTCGTCATCCATGCTGCTGAAGTTCTGATCCATTTGGCACAACTACTGATCAAACCAGGAGGAATCAAAGGGGAAACAGATCACTGACATTTTTTCTGAAATTGAAGCCTGTGGTGGGTTGAAATTCCAGTGTTTCCTCCTTTCTCGTCATATGGTGTTTTTGTTGGAATCAGATAAATGTAATGTCTGATAAGGTAGGAAGGAGCATGATGGATACATGGCATACGAGCATGTATATATTGGTAGTTAGTAGATCTAGTTAAGATGGAAGTTAAGGAGTACCCTATATTGTTTGTTATATTGACTTTTCGAGCATTCTTATACATCAGATCTGCTCAAATTGGGTTCGCATATTTTGTTTTATTGGAAAGTATGTACTTAAATAATATTTTAAATTTATTTAAGCTGGGATGAAATTAATTGGTATACATAAAAACGAATAATCGCACTTCACATCGGATGTGGCTGTGGGGCCTACCTAACTATTCTGTCATTGGTACTACTGCCTAAAACCTTATATATCTCACTTTAATGCCCATTTTTATAGCTCAATCATGCTTGCGCACGATCTTGTACAGCTTTTCGCGCATGCCATGTTTTGACTTGTCCCTTATCAAAGATATATATCAATAATATAGTTGATATCTTAGCATCGTGCGGTCGATCGATAACTTTATATAATGTGATCGTTATGCCTTAAGCGTTATAGTTACATCCATGATCAATGCACATTCCTCGTATTTAACATGGTGTGATCCTAATAGAGTGTGTATTCGTCTTTAATATTGTTAGTTTGGCAAGTCTCATAGTCCCACATTAGGAAAATCAGACTTATTATCTCCTATTGGAACTATAAATAAAAGCTTGAGTTTTGAAGTCAGATGCACCACAAGAGGTACCATAAGAAAAACCTAAGTGTTTGCTTTGGGTTTAAGTTCACACTCAGTTAAATAGTTTGAGCTTATAATTTGGATTTTTTCTTGTTTAGTATTTTCGGGTGTTTTATGGCCTAGGAACATCTTCATAAGGTATTTGTAATAGTCCCTCTTTTATAGTAGTGATTTGCTCATCTTTCGTCTGTGGATGTAGGTCAAGGTTAATTGACCGAACCACGTAAATATGGTGTTCTTATCGTTTCTTTTATTCTTTCCGCTTTATTATCTTTGTTTGGTTACCAAAATTACCCTTTGGTAAATATCCTGATGCTAGCTCTAACAAACTGGTATCAGAGCCTGGTTCTGGGATCTTTTGGCAACAATGATAATAACAAAGATCGTTGTCGAGAAATTCGACAGAAATGTCAACTTCGGCATGTGGCAACTCAAGATGGAGGCCATTCTGATTCAAGACGGAGTTGATTTGGCACTACAGGGAGCTGAAAGAGAACATTCCAGATGATACATCAAAGGAAGATCTTGCGGCAATGGATAAGAAGGCCCGATCAAGAATCATTCTAAATCTCTCGGACGAGGTTTTATGGGAGGTAGCTACGGAGACTACGGCTAAGAGCATGTGGAACAAGCTTAAAGCCTTGTACATGAAGAGGACAGTGGAGAATCGTCTCTACTTGAAGCAGAGTTTGTATATGCTTCGGATGACTGAAGGTACATATTTACTCTCACATCTTGATAAATTTGATTCATTGATTATGGATTTAGAGAATATATATGCAAAAATTGATGACGAGGATAAGGCCCTATTACTCTTGTGTTCTCTTCCCCAATCTTTTAAGCATTTCCGTGATACTTTGATTTATGGAAAAGAAACAGTTTTGTATCAAGAAATTAAATTTGCACTGAAATCTAAGGAGCAGATAGACAGGAATATCACTGGGGAAAGTAGAGGGAATCAGGCTGAAGGTCTGGTTGTTAGGGGGAGAATGGATAAAATAGAATTTGACAATAATAGATCTAAATCTAGATCTAAATCCAGACATAGAAATTTGGAATGCAGATATTGTCATAAAATGGGGCACATTAAATCTGATTGCTTTAAATTGAAAAATAAATTAAAGCAAAAGGAAAAACTTGTTGAGAAAACTACTGAATCCGCTGAAGCTAGTGTAGCAACTGATGAGAATATTAGAAATATTTTCTCTGCTATTGATGACAGAACGAGGTCTAAAAATGAATGGATTTTAGATTATGGTTGTTCTTATCACATGTGTCCCAATAGGGATTTGTTTTCCACATATGAATCTTGTAATGGTGGAATTATTTTGATGGGCAATAATGCCGCGTGTGATGTTGTTGGTAGAGGCACAATCCGAATTAAAATGCATGATGGTATTATGAGGACGCTCACTAATGTTAGATATGTTCCTAATTTAAAAAAGAATCTCATCTCTTTAGGCACCTTAGAGGCCCTTGAGTGTAAATACACAACTGAAGGTGGAGTTATGAAAGTTTCTAGAAGTGCTCTTGTTGTTATGAAAGGTTGCAGGTCTGGTAGCTTATATATTTTGTAGGGAACTACTGTCACAAGCTCAATTGCAGTCTCATCATCATCATTGTCTGATTCTGATATCACCAAATTATGGCATATGCGTTTGGGTCATATGAGTGAAAAAGGTTTGAGCATATTGAGCAAAAGGAGTCTACTTTGCGGACAGAGTACTGGGCCACTGGATTTTTATGAACACTGCATTTTTAGAAAGCAGAAAAGAGTCAGCTTCAATTCTCCGGCAGTTCACAAAACGAAAGTTACTCTTGACTATATTCATTCAGACCTTTGGGGTCCAGCTCATGTTCAACCTAAGGGTGGTGCCAGGTATATGTTGACTTTCATTGATGATTATTCTAGGAAAGTTTGAGTTTACTTTCTAAAGCATAAAAATGATGTTTTTCTAACCTTTAAATAATGGAAGGCTTTGATTGAGAAGCAGACAGGTAAACAGATTAAGCGGCTTCGAACAAATAATGGCATGGAATTTTGTGAAGGTGACTTTAATGAATTCTGTAAAAATGAAGGAATCGTTCGACATTGCACTATTAGGATGACACCTCAACAAAATGGTGTGGCCGAACGTATGAACAGAACACTCTTGGAGAGAGCAAGGTGTATGATCTCAAATGCAGGGTTGATAAAGGACTTTTGGGCAGAGGCAATTAATATGGCCTGCTACGTTGTCAACCGCGCTCCTTCTACAGCACTTAACTTTAAAACTCCGGAGGAAGTTTGGTCAGGTACTCCTGTTGATTACTCTGATTTAAAATTTTTTGGGTGTCTAGCATACATGCATGTAAATGAAGGAAAATTAGAGCCTCGAGCTAAAAAGTACATTTTCCTTGGGTATGCTTCTGGGATGAAAGGATACAGATTATGGTATTCTGATCCCAAATCCCCAAAATTTGTAATCAGTAGAGATGTTACTTTTGATGAATTGTCTATGTTATCTTCTAAAGAAGAATATATTAGTTGTACAAATGATAGTGCGTAGAAGCAGGTGGAGCTTGAGATTGGTAGGTCTGATTCTTTTCAATCAAACTCTTCTACTCAAAGAATAACAGGAGATGGTCCTGAGTCTACTGATGAAGTTGCTCTAGAGGAAGAGCAATATTCCATAGCTAAGGATAGACCATGGAGAGATATTTGACCACCACAAAGATATGCAAATTTGGTTGCATATGCTTTGTCTGTTGCAGAAGAAACAAGTGAAGTTGGTGAGCCTACTACCTACTCAGATGCAGTTTCTTGTGATAATTCCGCTAAGTGGTTGATCGTGATGAACGAAGAAATTGAATCTCTCCATCGGAATAGAACTTGGGATCTTGTAAAGTCGCCTTCGGGTAAGAAAATTGTTGGATGCAAATGAGTCTTCAAAAGGAAGGAAGGTATTCTAGGGGTTGAAGATGCTGTTGAATCTCGTATTTTGATGATGAAACTACTTGATATATGTTTATGATTTAATCTGCGTTTTGAGTGACGCAGGGTGCTTCGATCAGGATGAGACAATTAAAGCAGGAACATCATGTTGTGCCGGAGGAACATGTCAGAAGATTGGACGTCGGGCCGGTGGATCGGTTGACGTATCGACAGAAGGCTTCGGGCCGTGGACTCAGGCATCGGGCCAAGAAGAGCGGGTATTGTGCCAAGGATATCGGAGTTGCAGAGTCAACA